ACAGAGATTTCAGAGTTTTGCTAAATTTTACAAGTAAATGTTGAGTATAGAGGAAAAATTGAGGAAAATGGGTATATAAGCTGTTAACTTTATATGATATTTCATTTCTCTTTTATCTCCTCTGTCATCATTCCTCTACTAGACGTTTCCCAGCACCTTGCTATCTGTTATTGTTATTGCTTATTTATCATATACCATATTTAATACCAAGCATGACATTGTATTGATCAACCCATTATGCCTTTCCAGCTTGTCCATCTACTCGATTCTGATGGCTTTACACATTAGCTCTTTTGAATGATGTTGTAATTGGATTCAGAGTCTCCTGGTGCATACTACTTCTTGAGAATATATTAGGCACTTCAGTAAGCTGCTTTAGTTTTTTCTGGGCAAACAACAGTAGATTTTGCTTTTATGCATTAATTACTCATTCTTACTCCCTTTTGCAAGCTTTTCTTCTTCTGCCTATCTCTTACCTGTTTTCTTTATGATTCTATCTTACATTCTTTTCAACTCCTAATCTTCATGGTCTGCTTAGATGAACTCTTCTTCAATAGCTCCAACTATAAGTTATCTACTGAATAACTAAAAAGGGTAATGCACCAGACTTTAGATCTCTATATTGAGTGTATCTAGCTGGCCTTAGGATAATTCTAAGTGGATATCCTACTGACATCCAAACTCAACATGTCTACACTGAACTAATCATCTCTCCAAACCTGCTAGTACTTAGAGCAGAGAATGGCACCTGTGAATTACCGTTAACTCCGGTCTGCTTAATCCCCACAGTTAGTCAGTCACCAGTCCTTGATGAATCTATTTTATAAATAACTTTTTAGTGGCCTGTCTTTCTAATCTCTGAGACAATGCAATTCCAGTCCACCAGCATCTCTTTCCCAGGTTATTGCAAATCTTAATAAGTGGTTTTCCTTCATCCAAAATATTTTCCTGGATGCTGTCAAAACAATCTTTCTTAAGTGTGTATCTAATTGCACCATTATTTCAATTAAAATCCTTCGATAACTGCTTCAATAGAATTGAAACTCTTTGTTGTGACTCCTAGCACTATCCTAGGAGTCAACTTATTTATCGGCAAAAGCATAAGTTTTGAGATTATATGCCTGCATTTAAATCTGAACTCTTCATTCATCCATCCATCCATCCATTCATTTTTGAGTAATCACTTTGTGCCTGGCATAGTTCTTGCCTCTGTGGATACAGCAGTGAACACTGACAAAGCCTCCCTTCAGGAACTTTTATTTTAGAGGCATAAAATAATGAACAAGAGAAGAAGTATAGTACTTCAGATGATGACAAAATGCTCTCGAGTGATGGTTGTGATGAAATTGATGTGCATATTTAGTGGTAATCAGAAATATGGAAAAAAGGGGGTAAGTCTTCAACGTGGAGGTGTATTAAATAGCCTTTTATTTTCTGGAGTAGTATCATTGCAAAGCTAAGTATTTCTGGGGCACTTTATGTTTGAAAAATGTATTAATTTTTATTATCTAAAAGAATCTCTAGTTGCTTTGTGGAAGAGATGATGAGAAAGCTAGAGTGGAAGCAGGGAAACAGTCAAGAGAATGATTTGCAATTCTTGAGGGCAGATATAAAACTAAAGTTGTAGTAGTGGACATGGTGAGGAGTTGTCTGACTCCGAGCGTATTTCGAATGTACAGCTAGATGTCATCCTAATGGATTTGAAGATAGGAAAAAGAGAAAGATGACTTCAGGGTTTTGACTTGAGAAACTGCACCTGCTGGCATTATTCTTTGAGATGGGAAAGAATTAGGGAAGATCCTATTAATATTTGGATTTCAAAGGAGAGAACCCAGAACCTGTTCTATTTCAGATGGCTGGTACATGTCCAAGTGAAAATATCAGACAGAAAGCTGGATGTGAAAGCATAGCATTCAGCTGAATAGTTTGGTGTTGTCCATCATTTGCATATGGTTTTAAAGCCATGGGCTGAGTGAGGATACTCAGGAACAAGTGTTGATCCGGGTATGTTAATAAATATTTAAGGAATCGCTCTCTTCTAAAAAAAATGTATACAGACACACAAACATACACACACATACATACACATAGATGTATATATATCAGCAGATTAGTCTATCCCTCTAGACAGGACTCGTTCAGTCTAATTTGCCAGGGTCTCCTCTACCCACTCAGCTATGCATCTGCACTGACATGGAACCTTGTCACTGATCTATATTACCAGTCTCTTCCTTTGACATTGGAGTTTGTTAATCAGCAGTAGTCCTTCTTTCTAGGTCCTGTCCATTTTATTTATTTACTCCATGCTCTATTACAAGCTATTTGTCTCAAATGTCACATGGCAGATGAAATCATGTATCATTAGTCCCAGCTTCCTTAGATCCAAGCCAATGTCAGTTACGGCAGAGAAAGGACAAGCTGGAAAATACTGCACTTTCTAAAGATATTTCTCAATGCAAATAAAGATTATTCTTCAACCGCTTGAAATTTTAAAATTTCTTCTTGTTGAACTGTGAAGCTGACACACTGCATATAGCTGCTGGGTTGTGGGTGCTCAGGAATTATGTTTTCAAGGGAAAATTACCAGGTTGCCTTGAATAATAATATATATGTTTGTGGCATCTTCTTAGAGAAGGCAATAGCAGTATGCAATGAATATCAGTATATTAGCTTTGATCAGTCCTCAAAGTTGAGAGCAACAGGTCAAAACATTTTCAAAATCCTTTTCAAAATATAGTAAAGAAGACTCATTTTATCTTAATTTTTTAAAGTAAAGTGATAATTTTATATATAATAAAAAGAGCTGCAAAATTTATTACGGAAATGATTGAATGTAGAAAGATTATACACTGAATAGCCCATGAACCAGATTTGTCAGGAAGGAATTGTAAGGGTCAAAGGGTTACAACTGGATGCTAAACACTGACTGAATTAATTGCCCCCTCAATGAGGGCATAAGGTTAGCTTTCAACCATATGCCATAATTTTTTAAACGATTTTTTTCTTCTCTGGAAGATGTACAGAGTATAACTAAAAAGTAATAAAAAATTTCACATTAAAACCAGAATCATTACTTTGTAGTGAAATAGCAGTCATAATTTCCTCTTTTAAAATTTTTATCCTTTTCTCTGTTCTCTTTGTTCTCTCTGCTCTACCCTCTTCCTTTGCATGAGTTTACATGTCTTGTGATATTTTTCTTTTTCCCTCAGAGCATAGATACAATTTCCTGTGTGGCACTCAGCATCTCCAAGACCTAGGATGTGCCTTGAGAGGTATGGTACTATTTTGAGGTAAGTTATAACATAAAACTGCACTAGCTGCCTCATTTATGAAAAGTATACCAAATTCCCAGATATGTGGTAAGCAGTTACTGGTAAAAACACAATCCTAATGGTTTTCATAATTGATGTTTGCAAAACCAGAAATAATTCTGATCATGTTTCATCCCAATTATAGGACTCTAGCAGTGAGAAAGGATTTTGTACTTTATGAGGTTTAGTAGATATTATATTTAGACTTTTTTCTGTAGTAGAAAAAATACTTCAGAAACTTTTTCTTGTACTAGTTTGTGGAACATTAATGAAATATACACACACACAGTTTTACTTTTATTGGTAAGATTTCAAGAAGGATGTGACAGATGATTGTCATGGAATATAAAGATTTTTCAGCTAATCTTTAAATTACTTTCATTTTTAATTTTTGTGGGTATATAGTAGGTACATTATATTTAGGGGGTACCTGAGATATTTTGGTACAGGTGTGCAATGTGTAATAATAACAGCATGGGAACTTTAAATTACTTTTAAAAGGAGACATCACTACTCCATTTTGTTTACCTTTCCCAATAAAATGTAAGACTCAGTGAGCACTCTCTCAGTTATTTGAAAAATTATTTTGTCTTACTGTGGCATAATTTTTGGAATTAGCTTTCTGCAATGCTCATTGGCCTACACATTAATTATAAACTGCTTGACCTTAATTGATTTCTCATCCGTCTATTAGTCCAAATCCATATTTCGGGTTTAAATAACTTAAGGAACATGATCTGACTCATGAAAAACTTCCACTGACTTTACTGGAGCCTGTGAAATTTTGTCAGACATCCGGAATCTAATTCATTGCTACATCCCAGAATACAAACTACAAACGAGAAACTGATGAACTTTGTACCATGTAGCAGGGTAATGTTCTTTTAATGTTTTTCCTGGTTTCAATAAGATTTCTTTATAAATACATAGCATTTATAATGACATTTAGATTCCTGGTAGATAACTAGTCACTTATACTAGAGACACATGCTGAATGATTTTCTTACATAAAATATTAACATTACCACTTGTTATTATCATTATTCTTAGTTTCCTTTAAATTTAATTTTTAGGCACCCCAGTTAAGTGCAGCCTATGTACAGAAACAATAAATTTTTGCTGGTTGTTTATTCTTAAAATATCTAGGCCTAGTTTTAATGGCTACAGTGGATAGCTGAAAATTTTTCCTCATGTTGTTGGAATGTAGGATGAATCAAAAGGAAGTTAACAATTCCAGAATGATGGCAGCATAAGGGCACATATTCTACTCCCGAACAAAAACGTACTTCTTTGATCGGAAGTAAACCAACGACAGGTACAGTGCAGTGGGATTCAGAGTGCACAGGGGAGTCATACTGACGTCGGGAATGATACCAAACACAGACCACAAATCTTAAAGAAGTTCTTCCAAATATGGCAGCGTTTAGAACCCAGATACCGTTTTTTTTTTTTTTTTTTCTAGGGTAGCACAGACTTATAGGAAAGTGAGTAAATTCTGGGAAATCCTAATATTAGAGAGACAAAGGTTGGCACTGCAGGCAGGCTCTGAGGAATGATGGGGCCTTGAGCTTCTTTCCCACCAGAGTTCAACAACATTCCTAGGCCATGCTGGCATCTCTGGAATGTAAAGTGAGCACTCTGCCCCCTCCTCACTTTGCTTCTCTGATCTGACATTTTCATAGTTACCAAGTTCCCTCAGATGAAGGAGGGGAGAACCCTAATTTGAAGAGGGGAGGCCTGAAGTGGACAGGAACAGTACCAAGGAGACCAGAGGAGGCAAAGCATTAAAAGTTGAAGAAACAGCATAAATAACAGAAGACTGAAACTAAGGTGAGCGGGGAAACTCGCACTCTGCAAGCAGTTAGCCCAGGTTCCAGTCCTCGTGCACTGTTCACTTACTTGGTATGTGCTACCGAGCAAGTTTCTTAACCTGTTTGTGCCTCAGTTTTCTCATCAATAAAATGGGGATGATAACCTACATGTAGGAATTAAATGATAATATGTTATTGATATAACAAGAGATTATGACAATACCTGGCACATACCAAGAGTTCTGTAAATGCTGATTGCTTTTATTAAATTAACTCATTTAATACATTTACTTTAAGTTATTAAATTAAATATTGCTATTACTAAATCTAAATAAAAATGAGATTAAACAACTTATTTATTTAATAGACAAAACCTCCAATGACGTCAAAAGTCGTCTGTATGATATGTAAAAGAGAGCTGAAATAATGCCACTCAAAAGGTAATAGCAAAGGACATTATGCTAGAAACGCTAATCACTATTGCCTATTCACATTCACTCCTTGTAATAGTATCCCAACAACAGGTTCTTTTTCCTCTGACTCTAGCCCACCTCTGGCTACAGCTGATTGGATCAAGGACAGACACCTGACCAAGGACAGTCACACTGTGCTTTATGTCCCAGCAGAAAAAAGGCTCTGGTTAAAATCCATTTTTTTCTTTTATTTGGGTAATTAAATCAATGAGCTGAACAGAAGTGTGAATCAGTAACTCCACGTAGCCACAAATGAAGTACAGTTGGAAAAGGAACACAGGAACTCAAGCTTGCCCTGGGCTGCCTGGTGGGAAACAGATCCGGATCTGCAAAGGTGTTGTGTATCTCTGCAGAGGAAGCCTTCTCTGCCCCTGGTTTCGGCCCTCAGGGCCCTCAATGACAGCAGTAGAGTCTTCTACTAAGCTGTGTTTCTATGGATAAGGTTGGGATCCTGACAGTGAATGAGGTTATCCTGCAGGATGGGGAGCTGCGAATTCTTGGCACCCGAGCCTCTCTGAGGCAGTTACCAATGCAAGCTCCCTCCCACATGTGAGGAGACATCCCTTTTTAAGTCCATCCTGTGACCAAAGCTTGGAATGCAGCGCTGGCTTTTGGAAATAAGCAAAGACAGATTAAGGAAGAAAGGGCCTTTACTGTGAGTTCTGACTGATATTTCCCTTCAGGGCCTTGAGGCTTAAGCCTTTCTTTCTAGAAGAATGGGGAGGGGAGGAGCTAGTCCCATTTGTTGCTAAGCGACTAAAGCTTTCTCGGGTCACGTTTGCAGCTATTGAGAATCAGTGACAAGGTGGATGTAGCGATGCAGGGAGAAGCCTCTCATTTCAAGATTTCTGGTTCTGTATTTTAAACCATGGAGTTCCCAAGAACAAAACTGATAGGAAGCCTATCAAAGTTCGAGAATGGTGTTTTTAGAAATAAGCCAAGCCTTAGAAGGAGGGATAAGTTTCAGACTTAAACCAACACAGCAGGGCATCTTATCTTCCTCCGCAAAGTCCAGGCCCAATACAAAGGATGCTAAGAATAAATTTAACAAAAAATATACTCAACCTGTATGAAGAAAAAAACACAAACCAACCAACCAAATGAAGGACCTAAAATAATAGAATGAGTGGAGAGTCATGACATGTCCTTTTTGGAAAGACAGACATTGTAAAGATGTAAATGTTCTGTAAAGTATTTGTAAGTATAACAGAGATCCCTTTTGTATTTGACATGACAACATAACTCTCATTTATTTGGAAGACTAAATGTAGGACTATCCAGAAACATTCTGAGAAAAAAAGAATAACAAGTAGGAATTTGCCTGTGTTGTATTAAATCATATTGTCAAGGTGTGACAATTGAAAATGTGATAGTGTTTGATACCAGCATCAGAGTAAACAGGCAGATCAATGGAAGAGATTAAAAAGTCCAGAAGCAAACCCAGCTGTAAGTCCCTGGGAATTTTGTATGCGCTATAGGTGACATTTCAAATCAATGTACTGAATGGGTTTTCCAAAAACATGTCTTGGAACAAATGGCTAGTGTTTGCAAAAATATAAGAGAACTCTGCCTCCCACTAAATTATATTTTGAAATTTAAGGCTGGGCATGGTGGCTCACACCTGTAAACCAGAAAAGCCAGCACTTTGGGAGGCCAAGGTAGGAGGATCACTTGAGGCCAGGAGTTCAAGACTAGTCTGGGTAACATGGCAAGACCCTGTGTCTACAAAAATATTTTTTTAATTTGCCAGGGGGATGGTGCCTGTCTGTAGTCCTAGGTACTTGAGAGGCTGAGGAGGAAGGATCCCTTGAGCCCAGGAGTTCTAGGCTGCAATGAGTTATAATCACCCACTAGACTACAGCCTAGGCAACAGAGCCAGATCCTGTCTTTAAGAAAAATAAAACAAAACAGAACAAAGATTTGAATGAAAAGAATAAGATTATAAAATATGAGGAGAAAATTCAGATTAATGATGCTACAATCTTGAAATGGGGGAGTATATTAGTCTGCCAGGTCTGCTATTAATATTTTTAAAAACCCTGTGGCTAGATGGAAATTTATTTTGTCAGTTCTGGAGGCTGGAAGTCCAAGGTCAAGGTGTCAGCAGGGTTGGTTTCTCCTAAGGCCTCTCACTTTCTCCCTATGTCTTCAGATGGCCTTTTCCCTGTGCATGTGCATTCCTGGTGACTCTTCCTCTTCTTCTAAGGACACCAGTCATTGGATTAGGGCCCCACCCTTAAGACTTCATTTAACTGTAATTACCTCTTTAAAGGCCCTGTCTTTAAATAAGCCACACTGGCATTCGGCTTTCAACATACACATTTTGGAGGATGCACCTCAGTCCATAACAGGAAACATTTTCTAAGTATCACCTCAAAGACAGACCAGTCATTGATCTTACTAGAAATCAAAGGTGTTTAACAAAATACAAATCTCATTTTTTATTAATTTGATTTTTTTAAAATTGATGTCTTAGCATAAGTAAGAGTATGGGGATACAGGGCATTATAAGTACTCTCCCACACTGTTGGTGGGACAGGACATGGATATAAATACTGTGCAGGGCAATCTGGGTTTTGTAACATACTAAAAGAATGTGTTTGCTCTCCATTTCTTAGATTTTATCCTAAAGGAGTAGTCCAACAGGTGAGTAAAAATGTATATACAAGAATGTAAAATTGTATCAGATCATGAAAATAGGAAACAAATTTGGTGTTCGTAAACAGGGGATGCCATCAGCCAATTAAGATACCAGTTACCTAGTAGAATACTCTTTAGTCATTAGGTAAATACATAGTAAATCAGTTTTCTGGGAATGGACCTAGGATCTTTAACATGTTATGTTAAGTGAAAAAAATAAGTTATAGTATGTTCCCATTTATGTAAAAAATATAAATAGAAGTATATACAATGAAAAGTGGTAATATATGATCTGAATTATTTACATTGAGCATAGAATATTTTGCTAATCAGAAAGGCAAGCTATTTTCATTTTTAAAAACAACCATTTGTAGAAATGAAAAGCATATTCCATATATAGAAATACATATTTAAAAAGATAACATAAAATGGGAGTAGATAAAATATGTTTGCTTAATGAGGGGGCTCAGCAAATGGAGGAAAAAAAGTCCTATAATATCTATCAGCTTAAACATTTGGGAAACATGGACTTAGAACTTTCCTGGGAAAGTTTTAAGCTGTCTGAAGATGGAATGTTGTAAGTAAGAAGGGCCCCTTGACACTTGATGAAGAAAGAGTTTAAGAAACATGGATAGTAGAAGAGGAACACCCTGTCAAACTCAAACTTTGTCCCCAAACTGTATGTCTTAAAGTGGAAGTCTATCCCTACTATGTGCAGAGTTTCAAAACTGATAAACAATTTAGAATTAAAGAAAGTTTTAAGTAATTTCTCTCTTTCATAATACATGAAGTATTGTTTTCTTACTACTTAAAGTATTGCTTCTGAATTGTTTAGTTTTTTAAAATGCACATTTAATTTTTTATTCGACATTTTAATGGACATATTTAAAAGATTAAATATGTTCATACTACTTATGGCACAGGAAGTTCTTTGTTGACAATCTGTAGTGTACCTAATATGATGTGATTTTTTTTAAATTTCACTTTTTGTCTTTTTACTTCTCAACAAGTAAAAAGTGTATTTTAAAATATGCAAAGTTCAATTTTTACAAACTCAATACTCAGTCTGTTGTGTTGATCCCACAACATACTCATGATGCTAAAAATTCTACGCTGGCATTTCAAAAGGGAGTGAAACAGCATACTGCACAATTTCAACAAGCCTAGTGCCAAAAGATGAAAAAATATATTTTCATTTATCCTGAGTCCATTTAAGCACCAACATGTATGACTTTAACATTTAGTGTCGAGAACAATATCAACAAGTAAGGGATGATTATTGGATTTTGTTTACATGTCTTACTGCCTACCATCCCATCTTTTTTGTTTTCCTTTATAAAAATGGTATATGCAGGTATGGAGCCATACCTTCACTTTGCTTTTGTATCTGTTGAATGAAGAGTTTTAGCACTAAGGGTACAGAAAGAAAGGGCTGAGAACTTTGTAAGACAGAGAATGAAGGGCAAAGGGAGTATAGGCTCTGTGGAAAGTGAATTTCCAGCCCTGGAAGCCAGAAGAATTAAAACAAACAAAAAATGGAAAAAAAAAATGTTTTAAAGGTGAAAATTGCTAAGTACAAGGGAAGTTTTGTATTCAGATGCTTCTTAAAGGCAACCACTGCCCTTTTCTCCCCCTAACAAACATCCAACACAAGGGCTTTTTTTTCCATAGAATGTATTATTTAATTCATGATATTATGAGTCAAGCACTGTACTGAAAAGTTCCATTATGTATGTATATCACTTTTAAGAAAGAAAGAAGTTGTCCTTAAATACATTTTATATAGATCTAAAATTAGTAAAAGTATTCAGGAGAAATCAAAGCAATGTTGGCTATTGAAGCATCAATATTAAGGAATTAAAAAGGATGCAAATTTAGAACAGTAATTTAAGCAATCAAAAAATAATTTAATATGCTAAAACATACACACTTTTAGGTTATAATTGAATAAAATTGGAAGTGAGCACTTACAAAAATTTTGTGAATATCTTGGATATATGTTTAGTCAATAAATTGAATACTTTGCCTGTTTCTTAAGATATATATTAGTGTTTAAATAAACCTCACCACTAGTAAATTTATTACAACCATTTTGCATTAAAATAACTGGAAATTACAAAATAAAATTTATATTATATTAAGACAAATGTATGTAAAGAGAGAGATTTATATATATTTATGTATCTTTATAGGTATCTCTTAAAGTGGAATTCTATTTCTAATATGTATATCAGAGTTTCAAAACTGATAAACTGATAAATATATATATTTATAAAGGTATATAAATATTATATATAAAGGTATATAAAGATATATAAAGATATATATATATAAAAAGGTATAAATATTAAGATATACATTTATATATATCTGAAATGAGGTCTTGCTATGCTACCCAGGCTGGACTCAAACTCCTCGGTTTAAGTGATCCTCATGCCTCAGCTTTCCAAGTAGTTGGGATTACAGGCATGAGCCACTGCACCCAGCTAAATGTATTTTTAAAGAAAAATATTTAAATGGAATGGCCTTCATAGATCAGTTTGGTGTATTTTTTAACATAAAAATTTGTCTTTAAGTTTTAGAAGATCACAGTTTCCGAATCCATTTATAAACTGCTTTTTAACGAGTCGCTTAAAAAGCTTTCCACTGAATGCTCTTTTTTATGTGGTAAGAATGTCAGCAACTTTAGACATTTATGATTAGTCTTTCTGACTTTTACTACACGCATTTAATATACCTAACTTGTTATTTAGGATGCACCCTTGCCCTTTAAAGGCATTCTCAAGTGAATATAGATATCTACGGTTTTTAGACTGTAAAAAAAAAATTACGATTTCTTCTTTTAAGATAGTTGATAAAACTGCTTTATAAAAGTGGTAAAATATAACCTTTTAACAAAAGAAAAATTTTAAACTTGAGAATGTCACAAAATATAAAGGTTAGGTAGAAATAACTGTGATTATGTATTATAAGCACATTTCCAAGTACCAATGAAAAAAATCCCAAGTGAAATATTTAAAAACTCAAAGTTGTTCCTGAGCATCCCTGAGTTAAACAGAATTCAATATGTAAATCACTACAGTTTCTTCTTCAATCTATGAAGTAAAAGCTCCATTACTCCGATCATTTGGAAATGTAACTTTTCATCTTTGGTTCTCACTTTGTATTTACATACCAATGTGCAGTGTTTAAAGCCCTCTCATATATTTATTTGATTTTAGGATTATATAATGTTCATTTGAAATATTATCCTCATTTTTTATGTGTGGATGCTGAGTTATTCATTCCGTCTATCAGCATGTGTTAACCATATATTAACTGACTTTTATTTTTATTTATTTATTTATTTATTGAGACAAGGTTTTTCTT